GAGCTGCTCTCAGGATTCTTTGTTTGTCTTTGTTTTTTTCGAGTGTGAATATGATATGCCTTGGTGATTTTCTTTAGGGGTCTCTTATATATGGGGTTCATTGAGCTTCTTGGATGGCCAGCTTTTCATCTTTCATCATATTGGGGAAGTTTTCTGTCAGCAGTTCCTCAATGATCCTCTCTGTGTTTTCTGTTTTCTCCCCCTGTTCTGGAAATCCAATCACTCGCAGACTTTTGCTTTTGAATGTATTCCACATAACTCTCAGGGTCTCTTAATTTTTCTTTGTTCTTTTTTCTGAGTTTTTCTGAAACAGAGTTGTATCCAAGTGTTTGTCTTCAATTTCACTGATCCTGTCTTCCACCGTTTCAAATCTGCTTCTTAGCCCTTCTACGACAGTGTCCATTTCTGAAATCTTGTTGTTTATCTTTTGGATTTCTAATTGTTGTCTTTGTATAATTTCAAGTTGTGAATCTATTCTGGCATTTTGTTCCTGCATTATTTTCTTGAATTCTTCTAATTTTTTGCCTGTATTTTCCATGAATTTGTCTATTTTTTCCTCATGTTTGTCAGCTTTTTCCCTCAGCTCTTGGAGAATTCTGAGTATTAGAGATTTGAATTCCCTATCAGGTAATTCTAGTGCATTTTCTTCCACTGGAGAGTCATCTGGTGTTTTATTTTGGACACCTACTGGAACCATCCTGTACTGATTTTGTAAATGTTTTGATATTGCCTGCTGTCTTCAGGGTATTCAGTAATGAGTTTTCTCTTTTATTGATTGTAGATTTGTTTGTTTCGTCCTTTTTTTTTGTTTTTTAAATTTGACTATGTCTGAGCAGGCAGACTGTGTGTTCTTTGTTGTTTTCTCGTCTGTGGGCACAATACTTTTCACCTCCTTCTCCAGTTGGCAGGGTCAGTCACTCAGAGATGGTACGGCCGGGCATGTCTAGCTGAAGAGGAGTCACTGGGACAGGTTTTCTGTGGCACTCACTACAGCCACAAGGGCAGGTCGGCAATCAGTGCTGGGCAGGTTCCAGTAGGCTGTGCCTGTGCTGCTTGGTGGTGTGATGTTGAGTGCACGGTGCAGGTAGGCAGGATGCAGCGGGGAGATTGTTATGTGTGGAGCTAAGATGGATATGGGAGAGAGGAACAGGAGGCAAAAAGATACAAAGAAACATAAAAGAATGCTAGGGGAGCTTGCCATTGGAGTGGAGAGATGAGAGACTATGAAATGGAGAAAAACAGAAAGGGGAAAGGAAGAAAAGAAAAGAATGAATAAATAAAAATCGGAAGGGTTAAAGAACCACAAAGTTCTCAGGGATCCCACCAGTGCAGCTATGAGGTCTGGGGAAGTCGCTTTCAGGTGTTGCAGTACAGCCTGGACAGAAGGCATAGAGGCATACAACACCAGGTATTCGGTGAACAGAAAGAGAAGGAAGATATAGAGAGACGAGAAACTGAGTAATGAAGAAAGACAAAAAGGGAAATAGAGGGAAAGGAAAACAAAACAAACAAACAAAAAAAATCACAAGAAAAGCCTCCCAAAAAACAGAAAAGAAAAAAAAACATAAAAAGAAATGCCCTTGGTGATCCCTCTGCAAGTCTGTGCAAGCTGAGGGGGTTGTCTCTTTGCCACGCAGCTCAGCCTGGCCAGAAAGGGCTCCCCACTCAAGAAAAGGAAAAGAAAACAAATAATTCAAAACAAACAAACGAACAAAAGCCCCGGGGTCCCACCAGAACGCCAGCCCAGACCAGGAAGCAGCTCCACACTGAATGGAGCTCCACAGCCCCTCAGGAAGAAGCAAAGATGGCGCATGGAGTCACGTATTTGAGGAAAAGGAGGGGGAGGTGGTGAGAGGCAAGGAAGAAATCAAAAGAAGCAGATAAAAGCAACACCAGCAGCCATGAAATGGCACCCAGAGAGCCAGCCCGTTCGGGTGTGTGGAATCCAAGCAGCCGGTGTTTCCTGGACAAGAGACTGTGGCCGCGGGAAGCAGAGGAGGCCAAGTGGGGGTGAAGAAGGGTGGGGGGTGGGAAAGCGTACATCGCAAATTACTGGTTGTTTTGTCTCCCGCTGGAAGCCTTGTGAAGCTGCTTTCTTGTACCCGCTGTTTGCTGGTCTCCGATAGGAGTCCAGGATGGCAAATCAGTGCCGCGTTAGCTGGTAGGGGACCTCTGCATGAATCTCTCCCTGCTCTCCATTCTCTGTCAGTTTTCTCACTCCATTTGGTGCTTGGCTGAGTTCTCCATCTCCTCATTTGATGTTTTAGGTTTCAAGACTGTTGCCCTCTTTGTTCAGCCCAGTTCCTCAGATCTTTGCTGTGGAGGGACGGCCTCGTGCCTCTGCCTAGAGCGCCACTTTGCCGGAAGTCTGCTGAAAATTGGTTTTTAAAAAAACTGGGCATATTTTAACCTTGAATAAAGTAAGGATTTTGGTAAGGAAGAAGGTAAAAATGACTGTTGGATGGCAGCTAGCAGTCTCTGCTAGTTACTTGACTTACATAGCTCTAAGAAAACACTTTCCCAGGCACAACACTACACATTTTAATATTTCATCCTTCTCTCAGCATGATGTCATAACCAGCCAACAAGGCACACTGTATGATGAGAGAGGAAGGTGGAGTGAAGATAATATATCAGAGAGAAATAATAAGATGACACCCGAGCTTATTTTTTTCTTACTCTTGCCTCAGCCGTTGGGAGCTGGGAGAATATCCTTAGGACACTATTTATCTAAGACAAACAAAATATTGTAAAGATACCAGTCTTCTGTGGAGACAACCCTGCCTTTGGGTCCTTCAAGAGTGAGTCTAGGAATCATTAGTGATAAAATGGTGCTAAGTTCCAGAGGTCAAGTAGCAGAGAGGTCTGGGGAGGATCCACCCCACCCTCTTGCATTGCTCTCACAGACAAGAGAAGTGGGCACCGCAAGAGAATAAGGGAAGAGCAGTGGGCTGTTGAAAGAATACTGGATTCTGGGAAACCTGGAGGCCAGAGCAACTTGGCAGGTCTGTGTTAGGACTTGGGGTATAATTAAACTGAGACTGGAGTGAGAAGTTGGTCAAACTGTCATTCTCGACATGGAAAAATCTGAAAGTCGTTTTTTTAGTTGTGACTATTCTGATTTGGAGTGTCTTGTGGGAGTAGCTGCGTGTGTGTTTATGTGCATGTGTGTGCATGAGTGTGTTTATTTAGTGGAGAGCTTCCTATCCTTGGTAGTGGTGTTATTTGCCGACAAATCGATTTCGACTCATGGTGACCCCACGTGTGCAGAGTAGAACTGCTCCATAGAGTTTTCAAGGCTGTGACTTTTTGGAAGCAGATCATCAGGCTTGTCTTCTGAGCTGCCTCTAGGTGGGTTCAAGATGCCAAACTTTCAGCTAATAATTGAGCGCTTAACCATTTGTGCCACCCAGGACTCCTTCTTTAGAGGTATTAAATACAAATTGATGGCCATTTGTGCCAGATGTAAAACTTTTCAAAAACAAATAAATAAAAATGGCCAATTGTGCCAGGTACAAACCCTGACAAACAACAGGGAGTTTTCAAAATGCTCTAACCGTGCGGACATTTCCAAAAAGAACACTTAACAGTTTAAAATATTTCTGACTCACCAGGCTGGACACAACCAATTCCCATCAGACAAGTATACCTATGAAGCCAGGACGGAAGGACCTCTGCTTTGTAGAACCCTCCCTTCAATTCAGGGGTAGATTAACCAGTAATCACAGTATGCAGAGGCTTACAGTAAGCAAGGTATGCACGGTGGTGGCGCAGGGGTTAAGCGCTCAGCTGCTAACTGAAAGGTTGGTGGTTCAAACCTACCCAGTGGATTCCAGGGAGAAAAGGCCTGACCATCTGCTTCCATAAAGATTACAGCCAAGAAAACTCTATGGGCCAGTTCTACTCTGTCACATGGGGTCTCTATGAGTCAGAATCGACTCGACAACACCCAACAACAATAAGCCATAAGAAACAGATATATTTTTAAAAGAAATCCACAGACTGCTCTCAGTCCCTCTGATAACTTTGCTGTTATGTTGGACACTCCTTTTCCAGATATCCCACTCAGCAATTTTAGCCCAGGTCCCAAAGTTGAAACTCTTTTTACACACCAGCCATTTTTCTCAAGTCACACCAGTGTCTAGGTGGCTGCGAGTCCCACAGTGGGGCCAGAAGCACTTTACCTCCAGTCACCCATGAATGGAAACCAAGCACTCATTAAAATCCCTCCCATTTCAATGAATTTTGTTTTAGCAATCATATTATACTTTTCCTGATGCCCAACCTTGTCTGGGCTATCCCAGGCCATCCAATATATTTCACTAAATTTGAACCACAAAGAGACAAGGTCTAGATCTGAACCCTTTTCCTTTTAAGAGACCATTACATTCCAACTGAATTTGCCCAATCCTCCTCAGCAACTTGTAAGCTCCAAGCCCTCCCCATCCAATAAGTATGTGGGAGGGATACACAACTCCACCCTCCTGAACCAGCCCTGGTTTACCCAAAATCCCTGTTATCCTCTTCCCCGCCACCCACCACTCAAAATGCTCTTCCCAGAACAAAACGAATCTGCCCCAAAGATTTGTTGACCTCTCCTCTGTCAATAAGAAAAATTTGATCAATGAGTCACTTAGCGTTAACAGGGTTTATTGAGGCAAGAAGTTGTTCGCAAACAGAGTCCAAGCTGAAAGTGGCAAGGGTTCATTCAAGCAGTCCAAGTACAGAGTTCTGAATGATAGTTAGGGGCTTTCCAGTAGGGAAGTTACAATGACTAGGTCTTTGGTATGTCTTT